CGCTAAATAGGCCTCGTTGTTGATTTTTTCAGTTAGACGTATAAATTGGGGCATAAATTGCTCAACGGTACGTATATCTGGAGCGGTAATTACCAGTTCAAAGCATCTCCGTATCCCGGTCAGAACTCTGTGCAACGAGTTATCATTTTTGGTGACATGGGAAAAGTTCGACTTGATTATTATAATTTAATTTACATTAATGTCACGTGATTAAGAAGTGTTCGTTTTTTTCTTCTTTTTTTGCTTCACTTTATAACTGCAGGATGAAGCCGATGGTTCGAACGAGTATAATAATTTTCAACGAGGCTCCCTCAACACTACAAAACAGCTCATTGACGATTTGAAGAATTACGATATAGTATTTCATATCGGAGATATATGTTATGCTAATGGATATCTTTCGCAGTGGGATCAGTTCACTTCTCAAGTTGAGCCAATTGCTTCGAGAGTACCGTACATGATTGCCAGGTGGATTATAGTTTTTTTTTTAGGGAATTAAAATTAATTGGTTGATATGATAATGCACGTAATTTAACCTTATTTTTTTTTCATGTAATATTGTTGTGGCTGGTTATGATATCTGCGGTGGCAACCACGAGCGCGACTGGCCTGGAACGGGTTCGTTTTACGGGAACATGGATTCGGGTGGAGAATGTGGTGTCTTGGCTGAAACTATGTTTTTTGTTCCTGCTGAAAATCGAGCTAAATTCTGGTACGTCGAATATTTTATGTTTCGGATCAATTTTGTGTATTGTGATGAAATTTTGCAAAAAAAAATATCCAAATTGATTTAGTCTATAATTAGTTGACGAACCTTTTTTTTAGAATAAGTTATAGTAATTATTTAACCGAATTTAAAACGAGAGCTATATTCTTGTGGTAGGTACTCGACCGACTATGGAATGTTCCGTTTCTGCATAGCGGACACGGAACATGATTGGAGAGAAGGAACTGAACAATACAAATTTATCGAGCACTGTTTGGCATCGGTAGATAGACAAAAACAACCATGGCTAATATTCATTGTGCATCGTGTGCTCGGTTATTCTTCCACCGATTTTTACGCAAACGAGGGATCCTTTGCTGAACCAATGGGAAGAGACGACCTTCAAAAACTATGGCAGAAGTATAAAGTTGACATTGCTTTTTACGGGGGCACGCTCACAGTTACGAACGGACTTGTCCTATTTACCAGGTAATAAGTTTTAATTTAATCTCTTATTCCATTTTCTGCTGATTCTGATAAATCCGATCCAAAAAATTCCTATTGTGGAAGAATATTTTCATTCTGCATTCCGAAAGTTCCGATTTCCGATTTTTTTGATTTATGTTTTGAAACGAGGTTGGAATACACATTAGATTTCAATTTCCAAAAATATTTTGAAAAATTCCGTTTGCCCCCCTGGAAATTACACTTCTAATATCAATATTATTATGTATTTTGCACTATATTTAACCATTCCGCCGATTCAATTCGAAAGTTTCCAATTTCGGAACAATTCTTTTCTTTCCAATTTACGATTTCCGTATTTTTCACAAACCAATACGATTGACATTATACTGTGAAAAAGGTAAGTGGAGAATCTATTTCTCAAATTTTCTCATCAAATCGAAATCGTTTAATACAATTGACCGTTTATCTCTTTTGTTGGTGTAGAACATATGTACGAGCAACGAGAAGCATTATTACAAGGGTAGCTTAAACGGAACCATACACGTGGTGGCTGGAGGAGGAGGTGCCAGCCTGTCGGATTTCTCGACTTTCACACCAAGGTGGAGTCTTTTCCGAGATTCCGATTACGGATTTGTGAAGTTGACTGCGTTTGACCATTCGAATTTGTTACTCAAGTACAAAAAGAGCAGCAATGGAGAGGTTTACGACTCGTTGAGAATATCGCGCGATTATAGAGATATATTGGCTTGTGCTGTAGATAGCTGCCCAAGTGTCACCCTTGCTTCTTCATTGTCATCTCAATTTTTTACACTGTTTTTGTTAGCCGAGAAGATTTCTATAGATCCCGAGATTGTAGGGAATGTTGGAATTCCTTGACCGTTCATTTGGTGATTTTCTTCGAAAACAAGGAATTAAACATCACACTTCTTGCACTTATACGCCTCAACAAAATGGTCTTGCAGAGCGAAAAAATAGACAAATTATGGAAGTCGTACGTGCATCTATCTTTGGAATGAACGTGCCTCGATTTTATTGGGGAGAAGCCGTTAAGTCTGCTGTTTATTTGATTAATAGGGTGCCTTCTCGAGTTATTGGTTTTCAAACTCCACACAAAAAATTACAGACCTTTTTTGACGTACCCCATCAACCGAACCTCGAACCCAGAATCTTTGGTTGCACAGTGTATGTTCATATACCCAAAGTTTTGCGCGGTAAACTTGATCCATGTGCTGCACGTTGTATATTTGTTGGTTATTCTGATTTTCAAAAGGGGTATAGGTGTTACGACCCTAAAACTCGGAAATTGCATGTCTCTCTTAATGTCTCTTTCCATGAAAATGAACCTTATTATTCTGCTGCAAATTCTAGCTCTCGTCTTCAGGGGGAGAATGTGGATAAAGACGATACCTTTGTTGATAAAAATAATGCGAATGACGCATTTATGGAGTTGGAAACCTTGGAACAAAGTATGCATAGCATTGAGCATAATGATCAGTGCTTAAGCAATGAATCTTGTGAAGATGGAGATGGTGGTGATGACCCAGAAATTGAAAATCTCAATGACGAAGAAGCCGAGATAGTTGAGTTGCCCACACCACCAACCGAAGAGTCTTCTTCCCAGAATATCTTCGATGATTATGTTGCCGAGTGTCCATCCCCAACCATTCCCAGGTATTCTCAAAGGCCTAATAAAGGAGTTCCCAGAAAACTTTATGAGCCTAATCTTAATACCAAGTTGAAATATCCTATCAATAACTATGTCTCTACTCATAGTTTTTCGGAATCTTATGCACTAACCATTAATCAATTATCCGAAGTGTCTATTCCTAGTAATGTGCAGGATGCATTGGCAGATCCAAAGTGGAAAAATGCTATGAACGAAGAGATGAAAGCTTTACAGAAGAATTCCACTTGGGAGATTGTTCCATTACCAATAGGAAAGAAGCCAATTGGTTGTATATGGGTGTATACTGTTAAACTTAAGGCTGATGGAAGTATAGACAGGTATAAGGCGAGACTCGTCGCCAAAGGACATGCTCAAAAATATGGTATTGATTATCAAGAGACCTTTGCACCAGTAGCCAAGCTCAATACTATCCGCATTCTCATATCTGTCGCTGCAAATCGAGATTGGCCTTTGCAACAATTCGACGTAAAAAATGCTTTCTTGAATGGCAATTTGGAGGAAGAAGTTTATATGGAACTTCCACCGGGAATACGCGAAAGTTCCAAGCACGAAGGTGAAGTTTGCAAATTAAAGAGATCCCTCTATGGTCTCAAGCAGTCACCAAGGGCTTGGTTCGGGAGGTTTACTTCGGCAATGAAAAAGATAGGATACGAACAAAGTAATGCAGACCATACTTTATTTGTGAAGCATAAAGAAGGTAAAGTCACTGCATTGATTGTGTACGTAGACGATATGATTTTGACAGGTGATGATCCTGAAGAAATGAAGCAGCTCCGAGAATATTTATTCGCAGAGTTCGAAATGAAAGATTTAGGACAACTAAGGTACTTTCTTGGCATCGAGGTAGCAAGATCTAAATTTGGAATTTCCCTTTCACAGTGTAAATACGTATTGGATTTACTAAGTGAAACTGGGATGCTAGCTTGCAAACCTGCTGAAACTCCAATCGAAGTGAATCATGGGCTTGGGATTTTTCCGAATCAAGTTCCTACAGATATAGGTCGGTATCAAAGGCTTGTGGGTAGACTCATTTATCTAACCCATACCAGACCTGATATAGCATATGCCGTAAGTATTGTGAGCCAATTTATGCATGCACCAAGCGAAGAGCATATGGAAGCGGTCTATAGAATTTTGAGATATCTTAAAGGTACTCCCGGCAAGGGTTTATTGTACTCGAAGAATGATGCTTTAAATGTTGAAGGTTATACTGATGCAGATTGGGCGGGAGATCAAACAACGAGGAGGTCTACATCAGGCTATCTAACCTTTGTGGAGGGAAATCTCGTTACTTGGAGAAGTAAAAAACAGAAAGTTGTAGCACGATCTAGTGCAGAAGCGGAGTTTCGAGGAATGGCTCAAGGATTATGTGAATTGTTATGGATCAAGAGCGTCGTGAAGGATTTAGGGGTAGAATATAAAGTACCTATGAAGTTGTATTGTGATAACAAGGCAGCAATTCAAATTGCACATAATCCTGTTCAGCATGATCGAACTAAGCATGTGGAAGTAGATCGTCGTTTTATCAAAGAAAAACTTGATCAAAGGGTCATATGTTTTCCGTTCGTCAAATCTGCTAGTCAACTAGCTGATGTCCTCACCAAGGCAGTATCGGGAAAAGAATTTCACAACGTGATAAACAAGTTGGGCATGGTAAACATCTATGCACCAACTTGAGGGGGAGTGTTAGCCGAGAAGATTTCTATAGATCCCGAGATTGTAGGGAATTTTATTTATTTTCCTTGTGCAGCTGATTCTCCTTCTTAGAGTAGGAGTCTTGATTCTTTTTTTCTTATATATGTACCTCTATTAAGGGTTAATAATATACGTACAAGAAATTCTTCTCTTTGCCGTGTTCAACAGTTTTCTCAGTTCAATGCAATAAAACAATTTTTTTAAACCTATTTTACTCTCTCTCTCTCTCTCTCTCTCTCTCTCTCTCTCTCTCTCTCTCTCTCCGTGAATTAATTTGCTTTTTTATCATGTCATTTGATATTTTATACATAATATTAAATTTTTATTTACATTAATTAGATTTAAAATACATTATATTTATATATGAAAATACTGATATATTGTTGGAAAAAAATCAGAACTTTTGGAGTTCAGTAAAAAAAGAGATATGCATTGGACACTAAATTTACTTGTTTTACTGATTCTTTCAACTTTCTTTCATTAATTTACTGGAAAACTCATGTTAAATCCTTGTTAAGCGTACTGATTCTAATTACATATCTATCTTGTCTGTGCTTTTTTCTTTTGTTTTCGTTTAGGGTTTTTGTAGTTCTGATTCTAATTTGGTGGGTCAGTTTCAGATTTGCAAATTGCCCCGTAAAAGGGGCTTGAAGACTGTGTTTATTAGAGGAGGGTCTGCTGGTTCTGCCCAACGACCACCTCTACTAGCCACCTACAATTTGTTGTCACCGAATTTATTATATTGTTCATGCATTTGGTTTTTTCTCTGATGATACTACGGTACATAATTAAAAAAATATGTACCATCTTATACTACATATGACCGTTTTAAAGGGGAAAAATATCTTATTTTTCTTTATGATCATTTATGAATATTGTTAATCCTTGCAGCTCAAAGACAAATTGGAGAAACGTCGCTTAATGAAATGAGCTCGAGATCCCACCATATTATTAGATTGTTATATTGTGATTTTATTTAATTTATTGTTTATTTATTCGATAACTTTTGTTAATGAACAATGTGGTTTGTCGCAGACTATTGAAAGCTGTTCTCGTGACTTTTTAGGAACGGACAATGCAAGCACTCTTACAGCTGCTGTGGTATGGAATTTATCTAATAACAAAAAAATAATTGTATAACATTATTTAATGTTTTTTAATCGGAAATTAATTTTATCGACAGAATTTCGTCGATTTGGCTGGAAGTGAACGAGCATCTCAATCGTTATCAGCTGGCACAAGGTTAAAAGAAGGCTGTCATATTAACCGTAGTTTGCTTACACTTGGAACTATTATTCGTAAGCTGAGGTAAAGATCACATTTTTATCAATATATCGTATTCTTTTTTTTTACGGATTTAATTAAAATAAACGAACCCCAGTTCGGATTTAGTTTTTTTTAGACGTATTCTTTGGTCTTTGAATGTTGTTGTCTTCGTCCATTTGCGTTCGCAAGATTAATATATGCTTAGATTTTGGGCGTTATAGTTTATGTTCTAATTTTTCTTACATAAAAAGTCTGTTACATGAATAAATTTATACTTGCAGGTCTAAGAACCGCACAACTTATCCAGAATTTGAGATTTCAATAGATGAGCATGGTGCTATTATCTTGCTTGGGCTAAAATATCAAATTGTTGTTTCCAAAGTCATCATCATGTGATGGGATTTTTGCAATAACTTAATATTCTCTTTTGCAAGATTTAGTAGACTGTTTTATATTTTCTTTTGCATAACAAAGTGATTTCCAGAAATTACAAATTGACCCCCACTTGGGGAGCCATTACCTGTTTAAAGACCAAAATTAAAATAAGGTATAGGGGAAACTACAGTTTGGACCCCTGAACTATGGGGTCTGTCGCAAACACCCCCCTGGACTACAAAACGTGACAAAATGGCCCCTCCGTTTCGAATCTGTTAGTGGATGATGACGTGGCGCATTGACTTTACTGTTACTAGCCGTTTTTATACCCGTTGGAACATTTTTTGACCCTTTTGCCCCTCATACTAGTATATATATGTTTGTGTGGGTTATAGAGGTTTTCAAAAACTTTTTTCTTCATCATTTTTTCTCTAAATTTCTTCATTTTCCATTTTTTCCCTTCTTTTTTCCTTCTTATAAAGCACGTTAATATCCCTTTATTTTGTTAAATATTGAAAAAAAATTCTCTAAATTTCTTCATTTTCCATTTTTCCCCTTCTTTTTTCCTTCTTATAAAGCACGTTAATATTCCTTTTTTTTGTTAAATATTGAAAAATGTCGAGTAATAGCTCAAATTCACAAGATTATTGTCATTCATGTCACAAATCACGACACTATTTGTCTATTTTTTTAGGCACAACATGCAAGTGCCATAAAAATGCTGTAACTCGAACAGCTTGGACTCCTCTCAATCCAGGAAGAAGATTTGCAGGCTGTCAAAACTGGGATGTAAGAAAATATTTCATATTCATTGCAATCATCATTTACAAATAGTATTTGTAACTGTATAAATATACTTATTAATTTCTTAACAGAACTCAAGTGGTTGCAAATACTTTCAGTGGTTGGAGCCTGAGATTTGTCCAAAGGGGCTGGAGATTGGGCAAGGCTTGTTGAAATTTTTGGATGAGAAGAATGAAAAGATAAAGTCAATGGAGGCTGCTAATGAAAAGATGCAATTGTACAATGAGGAACTTCATGAAATTATTCTAAACATGACAAGAGCAAACAAGCACTTGGAAGAAAAAGTTCAAACACTAGAATGTGCAGTTTCTAAGAAAAATAAGATAGGGAGATATGTGAAGATATTCTCAATGTTTAGCATCTTCATATTCCTATGCAAATTGATTGCAAAGAACTCAGAATATCATAAGGGAAACTCATTGTATCTACAATAAGACTATTTGCAATGAAATTAGCAAGATAATAAATGTCATTTCATACTTGAATAGAAATGCTAAACAGCCATACCAAAATACCATGTCTGTTCTAAATAGCAAAATACCAAAACCCCAAAATATAAAGGCTTCACAGCCACCAAAATGTAAATGCTAATACACAACCATGCCAAAGTATCAAAATACTAGTTTGCAGGCTTCCAAATATCAAAATAACAACCTAACATAAGAAGCAACTTGTTCAATTAACACAATATCTTAAGAAACATCAGAAAATACCATACTTAGTTTCATGTTTCTCCATTATCAGAAGTGGCAGCAAATCTGTTTGATCTTGGCTGGCTGGAGAACAACACACTGCCAAATCTAGTATTGTGTACTTGCATCTACATTTATTGAGAAAAAAATGAACCATTAATTCACTGTATAATAAAAGATCAATTACATTTTAATAAATTAATTACCTGTATATTTCCCCCATCTGAAAAATTGTTTACTTGAACTTGAGACCCATTATTTGCACCACTCTGGCTTGCACCACTCTGCCACCATAGCATTTAAATGAGTAATATTTTATTCAAAATTGAAAATACAGATTATTTATGATGAGAGAAAAATACCTGCATAAGAGGTCTAAACATTCCCACCCCATTCCAATTACCAATTCCAGCATGGGGACCACCTTTTTTGCCATGTTTCTTGCTTTTTTGTCCATTTCTTTTGCTACTTTGTCCCCTAACAGGTTGTGTAGAAGGACCAGCTGGTGTAGAAGATTGTGTAGAAGGACCAGTTGGTGTAGAGGATTGTATTGGTGTAGAGGATTGTCCTGCAACATTTGTTCTTGTATTCTGATGTGGGGTTGAAGTGGTTGCACTAACAGAAGATGAAGGTGCCTGCAATTGCAAAATTATTGACTTTAGTTAACTACATCAAATGTACTAAATGAATTAATCAATAATAATATAAACACATAACCTTAGTTCTTTTTCTTGGCCTTTCTACATTCTTTGGTCTATCAACACTTCTTGATTTTTGTGAAGGAGGCTTCTTGCACCTTCTTTTGTTATGAGTGATATCACCACAGTTTGAGCATGTTTGCACAGTTCCTTGTCTTGTCACTTTGCCTCCAACACTGATTTCATCATATCCTTTCTTTCTCATTTTTCTTGGTCTGCCAGCCTGTTTCTTGAATGGAGGTGGCAAGATTGGCAGTGATTCAGCCTGTGTTGATGGAATTGACCATTGTGAATGGTCTGCCAGAGGAGTCAAAGTATAACTGTAAGCCTTCTTGTAGTTGTCAACAGAGAAATAATGGCTCACATAATCCTCTACATCTTTGTGCTCAGACATAAGTGCACAAGTGGCATGTGTACATGGTATTCCTGTCATGTCCCATTCCTTACAACTGCATGATCTTTTTCTAAAGTCCACAACCCAACCCTTATTTCCCAATGTCACTTCCCACAGCCCCTCATTTGCCATATGACATTCAAACTCAAGTGCCTTGTCTTTGATACTGTTCAATTTGTCTTGTATCCTAGGACAAATTTTGGTAGTGCATTTCTCTATCCACTGTCTTTTACTCTGAATTCTGCACATAAATTGTCTCCTCAAAGCCTCCATCATTGTAAGAATGGGCATTTCTCTAGCTTCCTTGATGTAGCTGTTAAAGGATTCACACAAGTTGTTGCTCAACAGATCACACTTTGGCCTTGCTGAGATAGCATGCTTGCACCACAAGTTGGTTGGAATTTTCTTTAACCAAACATAAGCCTCATTTGAGAAGGCTTTGATCTCATCCATTTTCTTATTGAATTCTTCCTCCAAATAAGCCCTTGCTGCACTCCACATCAGATCTTTCAGTGCCTTATCCTTAAACTTCAGCTTGAAGTTTTCATACAAGTGCCTTACACAAAATCTGTGATCTGTGTTTGGCATAATGGATTGAAAAGTTTCAACTAATCCCTTCTGTCTATCAGAAATGAAGGTGCATGAGGTTAGATCAAAACCAGTTACTGAATGAATCAACATATTTAAAAACCAAGTCCAGCTCTCTCTACACTAACTTTCAACTACTGCAATAGCTAAAGGGAACATCTGATTATTCCCATCTCTAGCTATAGCAGCCATCAACTGCCCACCATAAGGAGTCTTGAGGAAGCAAGCATCCAATCCTATAATTGGTCTACAACCCTCTATAAAACCTCTTTTCATGGCATCAAAAAATACAAACATCCTCTGAAATCTAGGATCTTTGTATATTGGAGGGCCCTGAACCTTAACTACTGCAGTGGAACCAGGATTGGTTTTTAGAATTTCATGGCAATATTGCCTCACTCTAGAGTATTGCTCATACACATTGCCATGTGCTTTCTCAATAGCTTTTTGTTTGGCTCTGTATAGCTTTTGTCTATGTGCATACACCTTCACTTCTTTTCTCACCAGCTTTCTGAATGATTTAATAGACATAGAGGGGTCTTCAAGAAAATGTTCCAAGTACTGCTCTGCAAGGTAAGTGGAGTTGGCACTCTTGTTCCTAAATGCTCTAGGACACCTATGAGGTTCACCTTTAATTGTCTTCACCTGAAAT